CCCCTGGTACACATAAAAGTTATGGCATTGGTTCTGGATTATTTACTGGGACTCTGGTAATGATGTTCCTGGCACAGCACTCCTTGCAAACACGTACTTTGGAGGAGTTCCCATACTTTTTTTTTTTATTGTCCTCTAGAGCTGTGGTGGCAAGCTGTGTGAAATCTATCCAGAAAACTGGAAGAAATCAAAACTAAAGGGAAAAAAACCAACCAAACCCAATTAAAGATGTCAAAGCCTTTCTTGTGTAGACCTAAAACAAGGTCTAAAATCAAAAGGATATGGGTTGACTGTGTAAGAGTCATGGGGGAGGGAGTTTTAGATTTTCGTTCAGTGCCCCTAGAGGATGGCCTGATATATTCTGTAGAGTTCTGGGACCAGAAAGATGCTTTCAGACTGAAACCAATTCAAAGATGAATAACAAACAAAAATAACAGCACAAAGTACCTGAGTGGCAGCAGGGACGAATTTTGAAGAAAGCTTAAACAGACTTGTGTCAGTGACAGGTCAAGGTGACCAAGGCCCTCAGCAGTACTCCATGGATATGTAAAAATATGTAAATGGAAGCAGGCAGATGAAGTGTTTGTCAGCATGCATTGCCATTGTTTGTTTTTGTGTTCAAAAGCTCTTTTTTCTAAGCACACTTCTCTTTTCAGAGCATGAGCTTTAGCTTTGCAACCCAAGCAGCAGGGATGCCTTGTGTCTCTTTAGGACTTTTCATCAGATGATTCCAAATGCTTTAAAAGGGTGAATTAAAGGAGCTCCACATTTAGAAAAAATAGAAATTGATTAATTTATTTCCTCCAAAATGCAATCAGCTCTGGTGTAAAGTAAAAGAGGACCTGGATTCTCCAGTGTGTGAGATCCCTCTCCCTTTACATTGCTGCAGAGTCACAAAGGATTCATTACCCAACCTCACTTCCTGTCTGGGGGCACCTTGAGCAAAGGAAAGAATGGTCATGGAGAGTGTGCTGCAGCAAGCAGCACCAGGAATAGAAGTTATATCAAATTAAAACATAGGGGAGGAATAAAGGAGAGAATTGCAATTTCCTCGAAGGGTATTAGGCTTGATCATAATAACTGCTGCCTCCATTCTTAATAGCAGTGAGGATGTACAGACATTTGTGTGATTTCTCTGCTGAGCAGCACCTCTGCTTAGTCAGTACTGATTTGGGGTTGCTACAGCAACACCAAAACCACTTCCTATAGAGCCTGGATGTGCTCTGCAGCCCTCCCAGGCCTCCATGGTTAGCAGAAGTTAGGAAACTGCACAGAGGAAATACAATGCAAAGTACTAAGAGATGTGGAAACCTTAAACAGGGATGTCAATTTGACCACTATTTAGTCAATGCTAAGGGAAAATAGGAGCATGATGGCCTTAGAATCTCTTTAAGGCAGCTTTTAGTCTGTTAATAATTAAGAGGAGATTGCTTTATTAAAAAAATAAACAATTTTGATTTTATTTGAACAGCTCCCTTCAAATATTATTTTTGTGCACACTAACATGTGACACCCATGTGACATTGTTTTAAGCCTTATATTTGTATTCAACATGTGTTTAGCTTTCATTACTGACAAAACTTCAAATGCCAGAGGATGTACAAAACCTGCTGGGTGATTTGCAAAATCTTCTGGTGTTGGAAATTTTTTAATGATTAAATACTTTATTAATTGCTTCTATTTTATCTGATTCCTGGCTATTGCCACAGAAATCTTGAGGGCATTGCAACAAGGAAGATCTGTACTCCCTAAATTATAATTTCTGGGATTATGCTAAAGCACCATGTAAAAACAAGTAATAATTATTATTCATATATAATGTTTCAAACATATCTAATTGAGAAAAAAAACAAGAATTTCACCTATAGGCTCTTTACTAATAAAATCCCCAACTACTTCTGTAGAATTTGATTTGCTGCTCAACTTGTGTGATCCCGGGAAAGAAAGTTCAAGGTCTGCCTAACCTGGAGATTTTTCTCCAGTATGTCTTCTACTGAATTGGGAATTGTTTGAGTAGTGTTTGTGCTAAAAGTATTCCCAATGCTTTTGATGTTAAGCTTTTGCTTGTTGGCTGTTGTGTGTCCTTGAATGTAGCAATAATGGAGCAACTCTCTTCATTTCCCTCATATTGTCAGAACAATTGAGATTTTGGTCCATGCCCAGAGAATCATAAAACCATGGACCATAAGTTTAGGGGAGTGTTTCTACTGGTGATGAAATTACTGCTGGAATATTGAAGTTATTTAAAATTTCATCTTGCTGGAAAGTACTGGCAGCCTGAAAGGAGGAAAAACCACCAGACAGCTTGAGAGCCTCACACATAACAAAAGTTTAGAAGAATGGCTTTTGAGCCAAAAGAAAAGTGGTGATTTTGACATAAGCACAAACACGGAGGTCAGTGTGGATGTTTATACAGAAACATGGGAGAGATCTCACTTACTTTATAGCTGAATTAAGGGATGTAGTTCCTATACTTTTATTCCCTGATCTAGATACAGCATGGCTAAGATGATGTATTGTGTAGCTGGACTACAGCTGGGTCAGAGTCCCACACAAGCATCAGACTAAACAACGTGCCTTGGCCACAGCACCTCCTTGGAGAGCACTCCAGAGCAGGGGCAACCGGAGGTTGGCAACTACATCTGGTAACCATGTCCCCAGGCCACCAACACACACAGGGAGTGTTGGGCTAATGTAGGACATTGTTGCAGAGAAAATGCCCTTTGACTATTGACAGCACATTCCAGTAGAGTGACTGGCTGGGAGGCAGGTACCCACAACAGACCCACTGCCAGCAGCTGGGGGTGCCTAAATCTAGATTGGGCAAAATATTAGAGGCTATGCAGAGTCTGCAGCGGCCCAACACAGGCAGGGAGACAGCTGACTTGTGGGATGTCTGCAGAGATCTCAATGGGTCTCGGCCTTCTCTTCCATCTCTGATTGCTGCCCTGCCAGCCTTGGAGTACATCATTGTTTATTACCCAGAGGGACGGCTGAATTCCTTCTACAGCAACAATATTTTTTTGTGATGCCAATGCCATGACCTTTATTCATGAAAAACAAAGTACAAATGGGGAAAGCTGGGTGGAGCTCTGTCAGAAATGTGATGTAAACAGCTACAAAGATGTGGCTCTGCTCCTCCAAAGCCATTTCCCACCAGGTAAGGATCAGAGCAACAGGCATTGCAAACACAGCAGAGATCCTATCTGATATTTTGTTAAGCTAATTGCCTATACCTAACAGCAAGGCTTAATAAAAATTGCCAAATTGAACTTTTGGTCAGATTAGACAACATCGACAACAACAGTTTCCAAAGGATTTACGGAAACAAATTCCTTGTTCCAGGTATCTGCTGACATTTAAAAAAAGCCAGCCTCTTTTCTAGCATTCATGAAAGTAACATGAACAATTCAGTAGAAGAGCTCCCGTTTTGTTGTGGAAACAGTCTCCGCAGTACCCTTGAAAATTCATCCTGAGGCAAGTTTGAAATAATTCATGCTGCTGCTCTTACAAAAATATCTTCATGTTTAGAGCAAACAGCTGTTTTGCTGGTGGAAAACAGCAGAAACATGACCTGTATTTAAACCTGTATCTTACTGGGAGAACTGGGAGCTTAGCCTCCCAGTAGGGATGCAAAATTCAGGCAGTGACACCTGCAAAGATTTCTGGGGTGGCATGAATTCATCTGAGGGGAAACCTGACTTGAAGCCAGGTGGAGTGGCCATGTGGCAGTGTCCTCTGCTCTGGCTGGAGCCTGTGTCCTGAGCTCAGCAGGCCGGGGGATGTTCCTGAGAGATGCTGTACCCCTCTCCACACGGTTTCACAGGTCCTCCAGAGACACAGGATGGAAAAGCTCCTGGGGTCCACCACACCCTGCACTGTGTGCCTCTGCTCCGTGACTTCTTCAGCTCTGCCCCCAGGCAGTCCCAGGCCCTGCTGCTCAGGATGATGCCTGGTCACTGCCACAGCCCAGCCTGGCCACGCAGCTGCTCCCTGATGCTGATGGCCTCCAGCAGCACTTGCTATGGGGCAACTGGGGTCAAGGGTGTCCTTGTGAGTGCCAAGGGCATCCCAAACCCACTTTGGCTGCTCCACAGTTTGCTGGGATGTGCTTCCCAAGGAAATATGGGAGTATAGGGGCAGGTTTTCACTTCTCTCCATGAATTTCATGAGCCCAACAGACAAACTTGGAGAAGTACAAAGGAGAAAACTTGAGGACTTTGACTGACACAGAGAGTAAGAGACAATTGCTCAGTGCTACAGGCAGTCTGTGACCAACTGTTCACAAAATATTAACCATTTGTGGCACATTTAATAATCAGTAAGTGATAATATTGGGCTTTGATACAGATCAGAGCTAACTAACATTGACCAAAGAGGTTCAGAGGCCCAAGTCTGGATAGTTTGTGCTTCGTGTTGAGCCTATTCCACCCTGTCCCCTTTCCTGACTTCTCATGTACAGACAACAAAGTGGGATTGCTCTGGCTGGGACAGACAAGCAGAAATCGCTCTCTGCAAGGATGCACTGCTGGGTTGGTAGTGTTGCTGCACCCAAATAAACTTTATAAAACCAATCTCTGCCCAGGTTGGGACATAAGCATCAGGTATCCCAAAAGAGAAGTACAGGGATGCCACAGTGAATATTGCTGAATTTATTTTAGGCCACGGAGATTCCGGATGAAAGATCACTTGGGAGCGTGCCAAAGGTCCAGAAAAGGGAATTGCTTGGGGAGATCAAGGTCACCCACGCCTGGGAGCTGCTGGCATCCCCTCAGTGGCACTGCTGCATGGAGCAACGTGCTGCCAGGGGAGGTGGAAGCCCAGGCATCTCCTCGGAGCACGTGGGCAATGCTTCAAGTGTTCGTGGCCTGGCTGTGCTGGGGGACTGCAGGCAGGGCAGGGATGGGCAGAGCCAGGCAGGGCAGAGCAGGGACAGGCAGTGGCCAGCAGGAATGGGCAGGGATGGGCAGGGATGGGACGGGATGGGACAGACAGGGCAGGGCAGGGCAGGGATGGGACAGGCAGGACAGGGCAGCGCTGCGGATGCTGCAGCATCACTCGGCCAGGCTGGAGCAGAGCTCCCACCCCTGCTCTGCCTCCCTGCCACCAGATGCAAGCAATTTGTTTTGCATTTGGACTGGTAGTCTGGAAAACGCTGTGGTTTTAAGTTTATATGATATGCTTGCTTTCCAGTTTTGTTAATTAAAATCATGATACTGGATGAGCAGTTGCTGGAGAGCTTGTAGGGTTCATTTTAAATTTCTTCCTTTTTCTAGACACTCAGGCATTTGAAGCCCTTTCCCTGTTTGCAGTGCATTAATTCACTTAGCTAGAAATTCTTTCTGTCTGAACTCGTACAAGCATGCATTTGGGAATGGTTTTGTTTCTTACAGTACTTTCTCCTGGTGTTTGCCTATATCTTCCAATGTAATTTATCAGAATAAACAAAGTATATAAGGAGTGTATAATTTTCAGTTATACACTCCTCATAACTGTTTCACCATCACTTTGAGAGGGAAGGGAGCAGAGGGACCCATAGGCAAATAGAAAGAAATATGAGCATGTATGAATTCACTCAAGTGATCACTCTTCTTCTTTGGTGGGTTTAATCCATCAGCTTTTCTGGAGCCATTGTGTAAGTCATGAGGGCTCAGCTGCCTCCACAGTACATTTTTTAACTATTTTCCACAGTGATGTCTACTGTCACCTGGGATGTGGTTACGCCAACCCTTTCCAGCTCAATAATCAGCTCCAAATGGAAATGGAAGTGGTTCTTCAGAGCAGCCTCACACTCTGTTGACTTTTATTGCTTTCAGAGTGGGTCTGCCACAACTTCTTCCCTGTCTCCCAGTTTCAATCTCCCACAGCTTCCCAAAATCCATATCACCTTTGCTGCTCCCATGCAACCATCTTGACTTGGCAGGAGCTGTTGTGCTCAGGAAATCTGTGCAGGCAGAATATTTACCTGCAGCATGGCAGGTGTGTTACTGGCAGGGAAAGAGGCACATTCACACTGTGCCTCATCTCCAAGTGCACCCTGTGCTGCTGGAGCACTGCTGACAGAGGACTTGGTCCAGTGAGGGAACATCACTTAAACTGCCCAGATGTGGAGCTTTGCTTTCAGGACTGCCACATTGAGTGTGGACATGTGCAAGGATGGGCCAACATCTGCAGCATTTATTTTGGTCTGCAGACAAAGCTCAGAGTGGCTCAGCAAAGCTCACACGAGCCTCTCCCACGCACGAGTGAACATCACCTGAGCTCAGCAAAGCCTTTCCATGCAAATCCCAACTGCTCTGCATTGTGTCAAACAATGATTCCAGAATTAGATCCACCAAGATGTCTTTTTTTCTTTCTTTCTTTTTTTTTTTCAGCGAGTACATTCAGTGACAGTCTTTTCAGGGCTTATACCTTGGTTATTAATACTACCATTTGCCTTCTTTTGGAAAATTGAACTCATGTGATAGAGGAATTTTATGTGTCAAATTCTGATGCAGAATTTCTGATATGAGTGCTTCGGTAAAATACAGAAGTGGAAAATGGAGATACTATGGTAGGAAATTATTTTCTTGGGTGGTTTTTAAAATAAATTTTATATTATTAGGCTAGCAAAGAACAATGCCAACATCAAAAAATCCATTACCTGTTGTTCTTGTCCTGTTTTTGGTAAATTTAGGCAGGCATTGCAAGATTTTATAAGAACTGTTATGTAATAGTTCAGGCAAAAAAATTATTAAAAGAGATAAGTTATCATATATCTAGTACTAGGTAATCAGATTAAAAAGAAAAAAAACAAACAACAACTGGGAAGTGCAATAACTAGATTTGCTAATGCCACATAAAATAAAAATATGAGTACGTTTTTGGATTGCTGCACAGGGCAAGTGCCACAGAATTTTCCCTAGGGAACATGCCTCTATTGGAAAAGTGTGGTCAAATGCAACAAACAAATCTTTTTTGTCTTTAATTATTGTGATTCTGTTTAAAAGTTAGAAGACGTCAATTTTAGCATGTGGAATGCAGTTGTGAAAGAAAATGGGTTTCCTGAATTTTCAGTGAATGACAAAAATTCACACACATACTGGTTATTTTAATTTAAGGAAAAAGGATTTTGTTTCTTTATCCTGTTACATAACCCTGGATCTATTCTCCCTTGAACACACAAGTATGATTATCATTAATCTTAAAGGGAAACAGTTGTCTTTCAAAATCCTTTCTGAATTTCCAAATTTTTATCTTCTTTTTTTAAAGTTAGATCCCAAATGACTGGATATGAATTGAAGATGAAAGCACATTGTTTATTTTTTTAATTAGATTACTTTAATCTCATTTATACATAGTTCTTCTACTGTTCTTCCCAACAGCAATAGTGAAGAAAAAAACATTGTTTTAGAGTGACTTCCAAAATACAAAACATACGGTTCATATAGCATCCAGCAGGAGACAGACTACCTGTTATTACTTTTTTAGCTCATTTTTATGAAACTGGCTGGCTTTCAGTTCAGAGACATTCTTTAATAATACTTATATTTTTCATTCTATACTGCATTCCTTTCAAGGATTTTAAATTGCCCAGGAGATCTTGAAAATCCCAGTGAAAACCTTTGGATATATGAGAGGCTTTTATTTCCAGGTAGCTGACTGTCAGTTAACTTGAGAGACTCACTTTTTTCAAAAGCCAGTGTGACCACTTTGGTTCCAGGCTGTTTGGTTCCTGTGTGTTTGCCCCTCACTTTAGGAATCAGCCACTGTAAAGCAACAGGCATTTCCAAACTCAGAAAGGACCACCTCCAGCCTCTCAGCCCTGCTAAGTGCCTTAAGTTAATTTGTAATTAGTTTGATGTAAGGAAAGGACCAGTGCAGGCAATCCCATAATGGCTAGGCAGTCTCAAATATAAGCAAAACAGGCCAGCCAGAGCATTAAAGCAAGGGAATTTAATACCAACTGGCTATTTTTCAAGAAGACCTGTGGTTTTTCTTTGCCTTTGTGTTTGACTTGTAAACCGGGTGCAGAGCTCTATCACTGGCAGGTTCACATGATGGGGAGTGTACTAAAAACACAGGTCATGTTTTGGTTTCTGTTTGATACCTTATTTATATTTGATTTATATGGATAAACTAAGAAAAATTAACCGTCCAGGCCATAATTTCATCTAAAATAAACACAGACTAAAACTACAGCAACTTAGTGGATTGCGTGGATTAGTGAGATATCCTGGTATGTAACAGCAATAGCAACAATTTATTCCCTGATTTAGTAATGCTTAAAATCTGCAATCCTGAGTCACTCCATGATATGCAAATCCCTTACAAAATCGGCTTCTCTTTTCAGGCTCAGGATCCTCTGCTATACAGGGGAACCCCAAAGACTGACCCCATGTAACTTTGTATAGGAAATTCATGTATAGAAAATAATTACTGCAATGGATTTATTCAGACCATGGTTTTGCCATTCTTGCTTACACAATCCTTCACAGACAGTGCTGTCCATTTCTCTCCTACATTTCTGCTGGACTTCATGCCTGGATGAACTTCAGTTTTTTAAATTTTAATCTTTATTTGTAAAATCTTCCCAATCCCTGCAAAATCTGCTCTTTGTCCATGCCCCATCTTGGTCCTGAGTCCATGAAACATCATGTTCCCTCTAGCAGCCAATGAAAACAAGGTTTTTCCTGAAAAATGAAGAAATATTAAATTGGTTATCATTTAAAAATTAAGGCGAATTTGCTGATGAGCATATTTTAGGTCCTGGTGTAATATCCCTCCCTCCACCTCACCTTATGGAAACCTGAATTAGCTCTGCCATACCCTTGGCTTAATATTCATCCATCTGAAATCTGGCACTCACATCCCTGCCCCTCAAGACCTCTACCCGGGTGCAAATACAGTGAATCTCTCCTGACTTCCGTGCCATCTCAGTACATTTCCACACGTTGTAGCCAAGCTGGGGATTTGGCCCAGTGTCTTTTTTAAACCCTGTGACCCAGACGTGGAGATTAAAAAAGAGTTATGTTATCGGATTAAACAGATACAAGAGGCACTCGCTGTATCAGCATCCAACACCTTAAAACTCCAGCAAGTAGATCAGCACGGTAGTGGCAAAAATAGACTCTGAAAAAGAGGGAAAACTCGAAGGTGATGGCAAACCCATGCCTTGGACTGGGGTGCAGAAACCTGCCACTCTGCTTGCCAAAGCAGCCACAGGGATATGGTGTTCTGCTTGCTACAGCATCTTGATACAGGATACACTCGAGGTGTAAAAGTCATTTCAACTCCACCTACCTTAGCCAGAGTGATTTTGGCCTTAGTTAAGTTTGGGTTAATGTCTTCACAGTGGGGTTTTTAAGGGGTTGGCTTGATTGCCTTATGAACTGCATCAGCGGACACTGAAATCAATAAAGCTGCAGAAGCAAAAATTCTAACAGATTAAAAACAGACCTGCATGAAAAGGATAGTAATTTCAGGCACCATTTGTATGCTTAATATTATACACATGCTTATGCTTTGTAATTTGGGCTCTAACTTGTGATTTTGGTTACATAAGAGAGTGGAGAAGCCAGAAGCATTAGTGCTGCTGTGCGCCACTGCAGCTGAAGGCAGAGCTCCCCCAAATATTCATTAGGCACATTCTCAGAAATTGTGCTGTCTCATAATGAAATAGCAATGAACACATTTATGGCACAAAATAACATCATTATTATTATTATTATTATTATTATTATTATTATTATTATTATTATTATTATTATTATTATTATTATTATTATTATTATTATTATTATTATTATTAGTTCCAGGTACTGTGTACATGCCTCTGACTTCAAAACGGCTTTGGCTGTTGGTTGCTTACCCCAAACATTTTATTTTTAAACACATGGAGCAACCATGTGCTTTGTGTGGCTGACTTTTAAGAAGTGAGGAGCAACAGAAGAGAGAGCAAGAGACAAAATACAGACTTTGATTCCTCTAGAGAACTAGAGCAAAATATTCCACTGCTGTGTAGTGGTACAGCTGTGCTGGCAGGATCCTTCACACAGACAAGGCTCCAGCCACTACTTACATTTCACTGATGTGACTGCTGGTTCCTAATCTGCATCTAGACATCCTCACTGCAACCAAACAAGTGGCTGAGCCGGTAAGAAACGTTTTGCTTCACTCCCTACTGCAGCCAGAGCCTCCTGTTTGTGGTCCCTCGTGGAGCTCACAAAATGTGAGCTGCCTCCTGCAAAGGATGCCTACGAATCAAAGTTGCAGTACACAAGAAACCTGAATCAGAAGACGTAGGTGGCAGCACGGACTACATCGTTACGAGTTTAAACGAGGCTGTTCAGTGGAGATATGTCATCAATTAGCTGTGTATATTCTATCTCTGTCTGGTTTTCTGCTAAAAACCTTCCGAATCAGTTCGGATATGGAAAATCACAGAATGCACTGGAGCAAGGGAAAATCGGCTGTGTGACTGTGGCACAGGGGTTTTTGGCGTCCTGTATTGCCATCAAAAAGCGTGCAGAATGGTGTAGCTTTTGCAAGAACCAGCTAAGGAAATCAGCCTTTTCTGAGACCTCCCTGGAGGCTGCTGTGATGGAATTTGATCCCTCCAGCAGCCTATGCATTGGTTATGGGTTCCGGAGGTGGTCTCCCAGTAACTGCTGTCCTAGTCTGTGGTGTAGAAAGGTAGCATCTTGTATTCGGGAAAACCTAGAGAGCAGAGGTGTGGGACTATCCACTCTCCTTTGGTCCATCCCTGCTGTACCCAGTGCAAGGTTAGCACCGAGGGACTTCTGTGAAACACAGATGTCCCCAAATCTCCTTTTCACCACAACTGTACCCCCACAATGCAAATGCTATTTTGCAGTACAGAGATTCTTACTAAGTCTTCAGCAGGGGTTATATGAAAATGCCTCGCGACACTGTCTGCTGCTGAATCCTTTCATGTAGAGAACCGGGGGGATGCAGGTAGGAGAGGAAGGGCATGTTTGAGTCATATACCCGTTCGCCTGCAGGGGAAGAGGACCTGCTTTCGGTTCTGTGAAACCCGACGCAAAACAAAACGCTGCCCTGCTCCTTTTCCCCGCCGGTCGCCCCGGCCGTACTTTGTTCTCCCGCTGCGACCGGGACTTCCCGGTGCCGGGGACCGCGCGTTTGGGAGGCGGCAGGGCAGAGCAGGGATGTCCCAGCCTCCCAGGCACCTGCCACACCACGCTCCCGTGTTGCCTCCTCCAGCAGCAGACGGCTCCGGGAACAAACCTGTCCCCCAAGCCTGGCCGAGCGGCACCGGCTCCAGACTCCAGTCCCCCGGGGGGCCGGGGAGAAAAGCGGGAGCGGAGGAGCAGAGCCAGGGCCCAGGCGCAGGGACGGGCAGCGGCGGTGACAGCGCCGTGGGATGCTTTTTCTGTGAGGAGGGCACTCTTTGTGTAAAGATAAAAAACAACGATTGAAAAAACCGAAAAATACCGAGAGGAGCTCAGCGGCTGGGAGCCCTCGCTCCGCTCCCTGCCCGCCGCGGGCCGGGTCCCTCGGGGCGGCCCCGCCGCCGCTCCCGCTGCCCGCGGGGGAGGCCGCCGTGTCTGCGGCATGGCCCCTCCTCCCCCACACCCCTTCCTTTAGGCTCCCCCCTCCCCAGCAAAGAAGAGGCCGTGCCGGTGTTTTTCCACTCAGCAGGATGGGTGATGCTCAAAGCTCCCTCATTAGACAACAGACACGAGAGGTCAGGAAGAAAGCGCTTATAAATTACCGTTTCCTCCTGCTCGGCGCTGCTAGTCGCGCCGCACCGCTCCGCCGGACGCGCCGCAGGGGCGCAGCGGCGCGCAGGCACCGCGGCCAGCGGACACAGGTACCGGCACCTCCCGGGCGGGACGGCGGCGGGGCGGGCGTGGGGCTGCCGCTGCTGCCGCCGCTGCCGCTGCGCTGCTGGCGGTGGCGGAGCGGCGCGGATCGCCCCTCGCAGCCGCGCCGAACAAAGGGGCGGCAGCTCCGCGCCCAGCGGAGCCGAACCGAGCCGGGCATCGTCCTCCCTTTGTCCGCCTCGACTCGGGGTGCCCCCGGGCGCGCTTTCCCTTCCCCCCTTCCATTTATTTATTAATTCATCCTCCTCCTGAAAGCCCCCTCCTCCCCGGCGCTCGCATTACCTCGGCGGTGTTTTTTCTCCCCAGCGGTTATTTACCCCACACCCCCCCCACACCTTGCGTTAACTTTTTTTGGCGATAACATTCTCAGCCATTCCCCGTTGGCCGCCCTCCAGCACATCGACGGCGCACGCTTCTCTCCCCGGCTATTTTTGCCCATTTTTTCCTCCCACCCCTCCCCGCTGTGCTTTCTCTGTTTGCCGTGCGCTAACCTCGAGTGAAGAGACTGGTACAGGCAATGCTGCATCTGATGCTAATGGGCCTACCTGGTGGGTAATACCGCTGCTGCTGCTTTCTTGTGATTTCCCTCGTTTTCCTTTTTACTCCCCTCATTTTCCTTTTTTATTTTGTGGCTTCTTGACATGCTGAAATCAAAGTAGTGATGGGGCTTAGAAATAAAACACAGGGACTACACAGGGCAGGTTACCAAGCTCAGCGTGGTGCGAAGGGGTGATAATTCTGGGTTTGTCTGGGGGTAACTTGGATCCAAAATTCACCCGCTGGCTTTGAGATAATGAATGCCCATTGCTGCCTGGTATTATAGCAGGAGGTATGTGGGAGGACTCACAAGGTTTCCATATAAGAGCATGGGAGAATTTATTTCACCCAGGCGAAGAAATGTGCAGAGTATGTGTTATTTATGATACTGAAGGCAAGCTGTGTTGTCCTTAGGCAGCTCCAAGAGTGGCAAAACTTGGTATTTGGAAACTGTAGAAGCTGATTTCTGCCGTTTAATAAGAGCTATGTTTAAAGGGAAGCACGGATGAAAATAAAAGAAAGGAAAAAGTAGTGGGAGAGGATCCAGATAAACACGAAGAAATACAAACCCACACTTATTTCAGCACAGTTTGTGCCAAGGTGTAAAGATGGAGGTTTTTGATGAGTTCCCATGTTTTTTAACCGTATTGGGAAAGGCATTAAGAAAATGTGCCGAGAGGAGCTGGTTACGTTGATAGTGCTATTTTGGTAACTGCATTTTTTTTTTATTGCTTGCATGTGAAAATGTTTTGAGTTTTGGACTAGCAAAACAGTGAGGCAGTCCTGACGGGGACACATGTCATCGGCTGTGTAATTCAGGGCTCGGATGACAGTTGCTACCGGTTTAGGTTTTATGGCTTTAGGTTTGAGGGTAAATCAGCCCGTTAAAACCTGCTGCTGTGGAATTTCGATGGGAGAGCCTTTGGTGAGAGCTCTGATGGTTGTTGACAGCCGGGTGTTTACCTCTGGGTCTGCGTTCAGCTGCTTTCTGGCATTGCCTACCTTTGCCACAAGTGGTACGGAAAGGTTTCCTTGAAGGTTATTGGGGTTTTTTTTAAAGCAAAATGTGTGAGCAGCTGAGGCAGCCAGCAGCGTGACAGTGACAGTGTCCCTCACAAGGACCAAGTCAAGTCTGAAGCACGAGTGTAGAAGGAGGATGTCTGTTGGAAACTGCATTTTCTGCATTTTTGGTACTTTCAGCAATAGTATCTTCCTGTTTCCCTTTCAACTGTCTCTTATCTGCTTTGCATGTTCTATTTTTGTCCTTTTTCTCTTTATTTGCCTTTCACCCCTGTCCATTTCCCTTCGCACCTCTCCTGCCTTGGTGCCTGTGGCAGCTCCCACTGGAGGGCGACAGACACCTTTCCCCTGCCCGGGGCTGCCCGGGACCCCGGCCGGGCAGCAAAGGCTGCTTCTTGCCGGTGTTTGTTAACCTGCTGCTCTCACCTGCGCTGTGATGGCTCATTTCTGTCATACTTGGCAAAAAGCAGGAGGTCGCAGGTGGCACCGTGGTACCTGTAGGCCCAGAGAGGGTGGATGTGCGCTCGGGGGTGCTGCATCGAAATCCTGGGCCATTTGGTTTGTTTGCTTGAGGAATCTTGGTCTGGAATCTGGTAGAAATTTGGAATCTTTCAAATGCTACCGACTTCTGGTTTATTTTATTTTTCTGTAACCAGAAACAAAATTTGGCATACAGCTCTTCATTGGTAGTTTCAAATGTGGAGCTTTTGCGTGGGTTGCCTGGAGCTTTCATGTCAGAGGTGAAGTGTTGGGGCGATGGCAGGAGACTCCAGTTGGTGTGAAATGCTGGCAGAAAAGAGGTGCCACATTGTCCTGGAAAACTAGGAAGACACTTTAGGTTGGCTTGCCCTTGTTGCAGAGTGCTTGGGAAACCTCCCTTGCCTGAGTGGAGTTCTGTTTGTAAAGCCTTGGTGAGGATCTTGTTGTACAGCTAATCATTGCCAATATTTCAGTGAGGGTTTTTTTAAAATCAATACTCTTAGTGTATCTTAGTGGCTTCCAGCCAGGTCCTATGGGCAGAATGTTTCCAAAGAGACTCTTGGGCACTTTCCAGATGGTGATATTCCTTGAATTTTCATCAATGCACATCAAGGCTCAGCAACCCCCTATTATTTTAATATTGCCCCTTCTATATTTTCCAATGCCCCATATTTTTGTCTCAGTGGGCAGTGGGGCAACAGTGGTAGTGCTGCCAGTTCCACCAGTAAGGGGAGTCTCTGCAGTGGTGCCCTACCTGGGGTTTTAATCATGCTGGCAAACAGCTCTGAAAAGATTATGCTAATTAGTTTCTTATAAATTTAACCATATTACAACACTTAAAGACGGATGGGAAAGCCGTGGTAGTTGCAGCCTTTTGTAAGTAATGTTTATTTGATTGGTCATATGAATAAATTGTAGATCATTTAAGAAGTGAAGCTTTGAATAGATTACCCAGTCGGATTAGTGCCTTCGACTTCTATTCATCACTAACTTAATGACCAGAATGGATCAGGGTTATTTTTTTAAAAAGTAATCCTGTGTCTGCTCCAGTACGAGCTCTATACACGGAACTAAAATTTATTCTAATGGCACTCTAGGGGGGTTGCTTGCAGGATTGGGTCCTTTGCTCTTGGAAGAAAAGTATGAGGATGAAAATGCAGTGATTTAATATTTGTTGAATTTCTTCCACGTATGCCTGTTTAATTGAACCCTCAGCTGTTCTAGCTCCATGGATTTAATTGATTTGTGTGAGCTTTGTTTACATCCCAAGGCATGTAAACTTTAAATTGCTTACATAGTAGCTAATATTGATACAAAGTAATACCATAGAAATTAATTGAACACTCCACTCTTCCCTGTTCGTTTTTCCCCAAAAACCTGCTGTTGGAAGGGCTGCTGTGCTGCCAGTCAGTGACCCTGAAACCATGGCTGGTGTCCTACAGCATCCTCCCTTTTTTCAGTGTATCCAGATTTACACCAGCAAAAAGCCATTTAGTGCCAGCCCTAAACCCTGTTCCAAGAGCATCCACCAAACCCACCAGCTCAGCAGTGTGAATCAAATGCCAGCAAGCTTTGGGTGGTGGCAGCAGGGTGGCAGAGCTGTGGTTGCAGGAGGTGGCTGTTAGGGCCTGCTGGGAAGGTTCCCCATTTCAGCAGTTACTGGGTTTCCTGTTGTGGTTCTCTGTCACTCAGAATTGTCACAGCCTTGAAGGACGCCTCGCTGCTGTGGCTGCCCAACCTGGGTTTGAATGCAGTCAGTGCTTGAGCACTGGCATGGAAAAACAACCCTGCTGTGCCAAAATGCACTAGGAGGGCCCTGCCTCATGGTGTTGGTGTCAGTCCCATGTCCATGGGGAGGAGAGCAGCCCAAACACTGAGCCATGGGGTTATCGCTGAGCTGGAATGTAGTTAAAGGTTCTTTTATTTTTTCATTTTTTACCCAGATCACATGGCATTTGTATTCTGTTTCACTGCTGCAGTGTAATTGTCCTGCCATTTAGAGGGGACATAGTCATATCTCCTGTGATGCACTATATAGGATGAAATGCACGAGAAATGATCTCCTGTTTTGACATTGGTGCTGCATCCAGTGTCTTGGTGTTCTTCAAAGAGAACTTTTTACTGATGAAATTCAGAAAACGCAGTGCATTATAGCATTGAAATATGTCTGACTTATTTTGCTGGACCCATTTTTCCTTTAAAATATTTTTTCCCTTTTCTTTTTCTCTTTTTTTTTCCTAACAGGAAAAGAAAATACATTCAGCAGAGATTCTTCTTCATGTAAGTGTTATTTATGCTTGTTTATGAAATTACAAAAAGGCTTAAAAAACTCATTATAACATTCAAATGCTGAACACTTACCATCTGTGTGTAGAAACCAAGTATAGAGCATGTAAAAATAGGCTGTAGTTATACAGCAGTAATGCTCAGCAACTGATATCTTAAATTTGTCTGTGCAGTTCTTCTGTGTATATCACCACAGAATTTAGAAAATGTTGCAAAGCACTTTGCAGACATTTAAGCAGCATGCCCATAAAGTCGGTGTGTAAATCCTGGAGGGATAGTGTTGAAATGGTTTGCCCAAAGCAGAGGAGACACATAAGTGAGAGCTTGATTTAGCACCCCAGAGTCCTTGCTCCCCAAACGCTGTGACAAAGTCAGCTTTTGTGCCTTGGATCCTACAAAATCCAAGTTCTGCCCATAGAGCTGTTTGCTGTGTGCAGGTGTGTGCATGTGTGTGTATGGGTAAGAGAGTGTCTGTGCGTGTACCTGGCCTCAAATAGCCTGTAGGTATTTCAGGCCTTCTCCACAACCTGTGGTGATGCCCATTAAAGCAAGAGTAGATGCCACCAGCCATTGGTGGGTACTGTTGCAAATGTTTTGTGAAAGCATTTGGCTCCAGCCTGGCTCTCAGTCTGGGGGAGCCTGTTAAAGTACTCTTCGTGGGACTGAGAAAGCTGCATGTCATAAAAACCCAACAGGTTTTCTTCCACACCATCTAGCCACCTGGTTGTTTTTTGGGTTTTTTTTTAGCAGATCTCAGCTTTGAAAACTGTTGAGTAGCATAGAAAGCTCTGCTCTGGTATTTCTTCCTAGTAAATAAATCTGATTAAATGTTTTACGGGGCTGCATAGATGAAGACTCTCATTGCCTTTATGCAAAATTAGCTTAGCAAGGAAAACGACTGCATTGTTCCCAATGCAGGGCCTGCTTCGCATAACTTCCGAGCATGTACTGTGTCCAGTGGCATGGCAAGCCCGCGAGCACTCACCTCGGGCTGATTTCCCATAAATCAATTTATTTTTTTTTTAACAACATGTATCTCAGAATTGCAGCACTCCATTATGCTTGCGTAGCAACTTGCTGGTTAATATGTAGCAAAATGCCGTGTGGTAACAAATGTTTTTTTGCTATTGTTGAGCTGGAATGTTAGTTCAGCTTCTAGATAAAAGTGGCTTGCGCAAGGCGTCCCGGTAGACCATGATTTCTGTGGCTTGTACAGTAGTTCTGTAGGCAGCCGTGTTCTGCTCTTCCTCTCCCCTGTGCTTCCCTTCATCTTCCACGTGAGCGAGGGTGGGCTGATGGAAAGGCAGGAGCTGGCAGCCCTTTGCATCCTGCAAAACGCCAGCCTGGGGTTCTTACTATGCCTGTTGCTAGTCAAGCATCTGTTGAAAACACTCTTTATTCTGGTTGTGTTGCTAGCAGAAACATTGTTAGATGCTTTATTTAATAGCTTTAAACCACAAGTGTTCTTTGGCTGGTTTTATGGATAAGACAATCTTTCAAAAAAAAAAGACAACCCAAACAAAAGAAATCCAGTACTAAGTGAAGGATACCCGACAAAGGATTAAAGAATCCTCCTTTCCTGCTGCTGGCAATCCTAGATGGGGCTAGGTTAAGAACGTACATCATCATTTTTAAAAGGTGACAGAGAAGAAAAAATTCCAGAAAGTTTTTGAGTATGAACATTTTCAACATTTGTAGTTCATTATTATTTCATTCTAGAATGGGAAATTCAAATCTCTTGAAAATCCTCTGAAGTATATGCTTCCTATAGATTATAAAGGGGAAATAGTGAAGCAAAAACCCCTTTAAGGGAAGAAGCTGCCAAATAAAGAACCCAAAGAGATGAACCCTACAGCAGTGACTGTATGGTGTCTGGAAACTGCAGAATAACCACGCAGTGCAGATCTGGGGAGTTTTGCTTGGAAATTGCAGTATTCCAGAGAAAATTCCTAAGTTAAATACATACACTCTAAAAGGAGTAATGAAGTCAGTGGTCCAGAGGCCATTTGCAGTGCAGCCTTCCATCACATGCTGTGGCTTTTCCATGGCTAACAGCAAGCTTTGAGCACCAGAGCCTCTCTCCTCTGGTTCTGTGCATGAAACATGATGACTTTGACCCGATAACTCTGTTTGTGCCTGTCTGTGCATTGGCTTCCCTTGGCTTCTACAATGGTGGGAGTTTCCAAAAGAGAGTTAAACTCCAGGGATGGGAGTATTGAGGTCCCAGTGAAAAGGCAGGATGGTGAAGCATCCGGGACAGGGATCTCTCCCAGGTCCTGTTCAGAGAGTTGGCTCCTGTGGCAGCGAGTGCTCAGTGGGGATTAACCCCTCAGGCCCTGGCTTGGGCCGGTCTCTGACAGGAGGTGACCACTTTGAGAAGGGGCTCTTTGTGATAGTAACCAGCCATATGTAGTTGTAATGATAAGAAAGGGACCATCTTATTTTAGTCACTTTGCGACAAATACTACCACAATTCATTACTTTCCATCAGTGCCTCATCCTATGGAGGAATCACCACTGCCCATCTACATTGAGGAGGGGACAGAAGTCCCGATTGGTGAGTGCAGTTGGGATGGGATTTGTTTAAGGGAGGGTATTAAGGGTACTTGGGTTTTATATTCCTCACATTTGTGTGTACCCGTTTGTCAATGAAAATGGTAAGGTCTGTTGCAAATGTTTTGGGGATTTTATTTTATATTCTTCTTTATTTTCTATTTAGAGCTCCTGAGAGTTGTTGAACACTGCTAGCATTGGTTTTCATTTAAACATAAATCAAAGTACATAATTTATACAGTGACATTGAAAGCTTCTGTGCAGGATGTCTTAACACAAGGCTGAGGAAAGACCAGAAGTATCACAGGAGGTAGTCCCCACTTTGGCCTTTGACCTCAGCGTTGAGGTACTCTGCATAATCTGACATCTGGGTCAGTGTTTTTGTTCTTGCTGACACTCTCATGCCCAGCACCCAACAGACTCACATTGTCCACACCACTGCATAAGCAGAAGAGAGGCAGAGAGGTTTGCCATGCACCTTGGAGTGCTGCACACCCCCAGCTCTGAGCTCTGGGGTAGATGTATTGTCACTACCTGGATGTACAGGTTGAGTGCTGTTTTGGGGTTTTTTTAGATAGAGAAGCTGGCTTGAAGATAACCCATAAAAGAACATAACTAAAAGATCAGTAAGTTGGACTGTGGTGATCTTCTTTGGACAGTAGGAAGTTGTGATTGCAAAATTTCCCAGAGCCCCATCCGTATACAATCTGTTCTGCACTGCATACAGTAAGTGTGCCTTAGCTCTCACCTTGAGAATCTGCCTTGTTGAGCAGATGTGTCTCTTCAAACAACTTTTTCTTATTATATAGCCTGAATTTTTCCATTCCTAAATTCAAGCAATTGCTCCTTGTCTTACCATCTTTTGAGCTAGATGAATTACCTTCCTCTACACACAGTACCTGGAAGGTATTTATAGCTGGATCTCAGCCCAGGAGTTTTCTCTTTTATAGAACATATTAATTTTAGCTCTCTTACTCTCTCCTTAGATCACTTTTGTTGTCCTTGTTTGTATTTCCTTTAATTTCTCTATCTCCTTTCTAATCTGTGGAGACTTGAACAACTCATAATTTGTTCACTGTGGCTGTTTTGACATAGCATTATGCTTTAGATTTCCATCACCCCTTCCCTTGTCCACATCCAGAAATAGCTTAGCCTTTGACCCTTCTGCATCACTCAGAAGCATCACAGAGAGAAACTCTATTACTTGGTTAATCTTACCTGCAGTCACCTTTGGGTTATTCTTGGATTCATGGCTTTGCTAGCTGCTCCTCAGGCAATGTTACTGCTCTCCTGGGATGCTGGGCTTTATACTTCCTAACACTAAATCCCCATCCTATTGCACGCCACTTATTTTATCCAGGAATATTTTCAAACAGTATGCCATTATTTATTTTAATGCCCTAGGATTTTATCATTTACATATAAGCTGTTACTGTTTTACCATGTATAGAGAAAAGTACTTAATATTTTAATATTTTGATACCTATTACAGTTGTCTTTTGCATGTTAGTCCAGACTCCTTTCCCAGCTTCATCATTCTTATTTGTATATCTTCCCTGATTTTCCTTCCTCTAGTTAAGAAAGTTAATAAGAATGGGCAGGTTTAGTCTTCTTGTCTTCATTTTGTCCCTTTTCTCATTATACAATAAGAATATTGTTTCTGTACCTCTTCTATGCATGTCATGATGTGGTCTTCCCCACAGCAGATCATCTTTTCCTCACCTCTCCTGGGGTTGTAGTCAGCTGAACATCTGCTGCACATTAGACCTCTCTTGTAGAACTGTTAAGGTTCTGTCCTGGCCCCTGGGCTTTCATCTTGTCTTTCCCACTGCTCTGAGGAAACCTGGACCACTGAGCTGGTGGCACCTGCACCAAGAAAAATACTGCAGGGCTGATGAGTCACAGAACTGACCAACCAACCAACCCAAAAAAACCCCAGCTATGAGTGGAAAGCTTTTCAGAGGATGTTTGTTCGGTGCTGTCACGAAGCAGGTTGGTTGGATCAGGCTCTGAAGTGCAGCACCAGCTGTGAAACAGCCAGACTGGGCTGGAGAGGGCACTGTGTTTGCTTATTCCAAATAAGAGTCTGGACTGTCAATACAGCAAGCTGTGGTTGAGGGGCAATGAGTGGAAAAAGTAAATGGTGCAGAGATGAGGGCAAACCACAAGCTCTGAGTTTGGTATCTGAATGTCTGACATGGGTCAGGGCTTTTAGATGCAGCATGAATCAAGGTAGGAAGCAGCTGTAAAATTCTGGCCTGGGTCTGGGTCTTGGTATTGATCCTGCTTTCCATTGATCTCACCAGTGTGATCCACATCCAGGGTGCCCATTTGTACCTGTACAGACCAGAACAGGAATAAAACAAAGGCCTGTCTGCATTTAGGCTGGAGAGAAATAGCACACAGTGCAGTTGTTAAAACATTCCATTCAGCACAACCAT